CTTGATGCAGAACCACTTACTAAGGCAGAGTTTGTTGGCATTATTTTTAAATAGAAGCAGGCTGGAGCAGGTGGCGGAAGTAGCATGCGACCACATATGCTAGTCCTGCTCCTCTAGTTCCAGGTGGGGAGTAATCTCAACTGTGCTCTGCCTGCCACCTCTCTGCATAGATTGGTATTTGGAATCCAGTATGAAGCACACACCTGCACTTTGTATGTAGCCCACTAAAACTGCACTCTGTGCAGTACACACCTTTGCACTGTAGCACAAACCCTGATCTCTGTACGAACAACCCTGCACTTTGTACATAGTACACACACTTGAATACTGCACTCTGTATGCAGTACACACCTGAACCCTGCACTCTGTACGTAGCACACACCTGAACCCTGATCTCTGTACGTAGCACACACCTGAACCCTGCACTTTGTACATAGTACACACTTGAATACTGCACTCTGTATGCAGTACACACCTGAACCCTGCACTCTGTACGTAGCACACACACTCAACCCTGCACTCTGTACGTAGCACACACCTGAACCCTGCACTCTGTACGTAGCACACACCTGAACCCTGCACTTTGTACATAGCACACACCTGAACCCTGCACTCTGTATGTAGCACACACCTGAACCCTGCACTTTGTATGTAGCACATACCTGAACCCTGCACTTTGTACGTAGCACACATTTGAACCCTGCACTTGTATGTAGCACATACCTGAACCCTGCACTTTGTACGTAGCACACACCTGCACTCTGTACGTAGCACACACCTGAACCCTGCACTTTGTACGTAGCACACACCTGAACCCTGCACTCTGTATGTAGCACATACCTGAACCCTGCACTCTGTACGTAGCACACATTTGAACCCTGCACTTTGTATGTAGCACATACCTGAACCCTGCACTTTGTACGTAGCACACACCTGAACCCTGCACTCTGTATGTAGCACACCCCTGAACCCTGCTCTCCATTGCTAGTGTAGGAGGTGATACTGCTGCCTCTTGAATGTGTTTTTCATTCCAGCCAAATGGTAATTTTGCATTTAAATACTGTGTCATAACCACAAGCCAAGCAGTTGACAGGTGGCTTTGCCTGTGAAACGTCACATGTTGCGTGAAAATGAACGCACTATGTAGCTAAGCACTGAGGCCATGGCAATATGTACTCACCTAAGCAGGTACTTTGTTCATTTAGAGGTAGGTGGTCAGGGAGCTGTTCTGTTTAATCATCCTCTTTTAGTTTTTCAACTATATCCCAGCAGGGTGGCTGATAATTTGTCATGCTGTGTTGACTTTTTACATGTAAACCAGGCCATTTACCTGTTGGGGGCATTATCAGTGTTTACAGATTTAGTTTATACTGTTTAAATATGTTTTAGTTTCTAATAGGAGTTCTGCAATTGATTCAGGCTGTCTGTAAAAATTGTGCTCTGTCAGTAACTTTTCCATGTTCTTTTAGTAAAAAATTTGCGGGCCATTGTCAACCCTGAAAGCACCCAAGTGGAAGCATCTTCTGCCTTGTCCTCAGTCTGGGTCTACAGGCTCTAGTTGAGTAAAATTAACCCACTTAGCTATCGAGAAAGAAATGAAATGCCAAATTATTTCATTCTTTGGTATAAAAAACAAAACATTTGTTTTTCCTACTGACTTCTACTTAGTTCTGGTTCTCTTATGCAAAACCTAATCTTTGCAGATAACTTTGGGTGTGCTTCCCCGCGGCCCTCCATGTGTGGTGTGGTGGGGGTATCCGGTGCGGTGTGGCGTGGTGTGTTCTGTTTCCTTCTGACAGGGGACGCCTATATAGATCTAGTAGGTGCAGACCTACTGTGGTGTCATGCATGCATGCCATATTAAGGCAACATTTTTCAGGTGATTACTAGTTTCATTGGCCAATTAGTCTGCCATTTCATTTGGCTTTTCAAATATATGGGAATATCTGGGATTCTGGTTGGGGTGAGATTATATATGTGATCAGGTCACTACTTTACTCTTGCCGGTCAGATATGCAGGCCCAGCGAAATAAAAACGAGAAGCGCACAAACCTTGCGCATTACCTCAGTAAACAGAAATTTATTAAAAATCAGAGCTCTGATGAAGAAGGTCTGGCCTTCGAAACGCGTCAGCTGAACTGAGTGCTTACCCCCACGATGGGACTCGCGCTGGCCCTCTATCTCTGAAGTCCCTGTGAGGACTTACATGCCTGATTTTATTCGCTGTTTGTGAGTACCTTTCTTTTTAATAAATTTCTGTTTACTGAGGTAATGCGCAAGGTTTGTGCGCTTCTCGTTTTTATTTTCACTTTGCAGTGTTGGTCGGGTTTCCCCAGCCTTGTTTGGAGCTGTACAACCTTTGAAGCACTGGTGGCCGCTGTTTTTTTAGTTCTGGTTCCATCTATTTGCCACCTGCCTGGGTCCTAGAGCGCAGAAGAATTCGTGTTTAGATATGCAGGCCCACCAGTGTCCTAGCCATCCGCCTTCCTCCTTATGTTCTTGTGGAGATAAGCTTGCTCTGTCTGTACTGGAAACCAAAAATCTATATATTTTCTGGATGGCTCGCCTCCAGCCCTGGTCCCCTATGTCCGCCCTCCAGACATCTATGCCATTGACTTACTGTCTCCACTAGCATTACTCTCCCTCATATTCAAACTACAGTCCTGAAGAAGCCAAATGCACAGGAGAAATGTGTTGACCGTATTTTGAAATATATGTATGTTGTCACTATGTTCTGAGTGGTTATCCTTTACTATACAGTGGGGCAAAAAAGTATTTAGTCATCCACCAATTGTGCAAGTTCTCCCACTTAAAAAGATGAGAGAGGCCTGTAATTGGCATCATAGGTAGAACTCAACTATGAGAGACAAAATGAGAAAAAAGAGAAAAAATGAGAAAAAAGAGAAAAAATGAGACTTGGAAAGAATTTATTTGCAAATTATGGTGGAAAATAAGTATTTGGTCACCAACAAACAAGCAAGATTTCTGGCTCTCACAGACCTGTACCTTCTTCTTTAAGAGGCTCCTCTGTCCTGCACTCATTACCTGTATCAATGGCACCTGTTTGAACTTGTTATCAGTATAAAAGACACCTGTCCACAGCCTCAAACAGTCACACTCCAAACTCCACTATGGTGAAGACCAAAAAGCTGTCGAAGGACACCAGAAACAAAATTGTAGACCTGCACCAGGCTGTGAAGATTGAATCTGCAATAGGCAAGCAGCTTGGTGTGAACAAATCAACTGTGGGAGCAATAATTAGAAAATGACCACTGATAATCTCCCTCGATCTGGGGTTCCACGCAAGATCTCACCCCATGGGGTCAAAATGATCACAAGAACGGTGAGCAAAAATCCCAGGACCACACGGGGGGACCTAGTGAATGACCTGCAGAGAGCTGGGACCAACGTAACAAAGGCTACCATCAGTAACACACTACAGGGACTCAGATCCTGCAGTGCCAGACGTGTCCCCCTGCTTAAGCCAGTACATGTTCAGGCCCATCTGAAGTTTGCTAGAGAGCATTTGGATGATCCAGAAGAGGACTGGGAGAATGTCATATGGTCAGATGAAACCAAAATAGAACTGTTTGGTAGAAACACAACTCGTCGTGTTAGGAGGAGAGAGAATGCTGAGTTGCATCCAAAGAACACCACACCTACTGTGAAGCATGGGGGTGGCAACATCATGCTTTGGGGCTGTTTCTCCGTAAAGGGACCAGGACGACTGATCCATGTACAGGACAGAATTAATGGGGCCATGTATCGTGAGATTTTGAGTGCAAACCTCCTTCCATCAGCAAGGGGATTGAAGATGAAACGTGGCTGGGTCTTCCAACATGACAATGATCCCAAACATACCGTCCGGGCAACGACTCCAGGACCTTGAAAGAAGCATTTCAAGGTCCTGGAGTGGCCTAGCCAGTCTCCAGATCTCAACCCCATAGAAAACCTTTGGAGGGAGTTGAAAGTCCGTGTTGCCCAGCGCCAGCGCCAAAACATCACTGCTCTAGAGGAGATCTGCATGGAGGAATGGGCCAACATACCAGCAACAGTGTGTGCCAACCTTGTGAAGACTTACAGGAAACGTTTGACCTCTGTCATTGCCAACAAAGGATATATAACAAAGTATTGAGTTGAACTTTTGATATTGACCAAATACTTATTTTCCACCATAATTTGCAAATAAATTCTTTCCAAATCAGCCAATGTGATTGTCTGGATTTTTTTCCCATTTTTTCTCTCATAGTTGAGGTCTACCTATGATGCCAATTACAGGCCTCTCTCATCTTTTTAAGTGGGAGAACTTGCACAATTGGTGGCTGACTAAATACTTTTTTGCCCCACTGTACATGAGGGGCGCATTGTGCTCAACTTGATGTGCTTTGTTCTTATCTTCTCTTTTGAAGAGTATCTTTTGTAATATGGGTCCTATTATGGATATATGATTCTTTTATGTCAATAAATGGCTATATATATTTTACTGTGTCGTCTTACTGTGCCCAAAGAATCCAATGCCTTACCATACTTCAGTTATTTTTCATTTCAATATCTACAGGATTTGACATTAGGAAGCTTGTTTTGATCATTTTTATATTTGTCTATATTTCATTATGAGTTAACTTGACCTTTAACCACCTCCCCCCCATATAAGGAAATGACGGGTGCAAGGCAGTTCTCTTGTTCTGGGAGGACGTCACATGATGTCCTTCCACTCTAACCGTGTGTGCGCAGCTCTGGGGGTGCACAGCACGGCAATTGGTGGTGCGCTGTGTCCCTCGGACACAGCGGATCACCGATCAATGGAAAGAGCCAAAGACATCAACTCTGTCATGTGATCCGCTGTGTCCAATCACAGCTGACCGCATGTAAATAAGGAAATGCCGGTTATCGGCATTTCTCTCCTCACGAGCTGTCACGCTGACAGAGGAGAGGAGAGCCGGTAATCGGCATTCCTCAGAGGGGACATGTACACTTATCATCTGGGCACTGATGATCAGTGTGCCCTGATGATCAGTGTAGCCCCATCAGTACCACTTGTCAGTGTCCATCAATGCCAGCTGTCAGTGCTCATCAATGCCACCTGCCAGTGCCCAACAGTGCCACATCAATGCCACATATCAGTGCTTACCAGTGCACATCAATGCCACATATCAGTACCCATCTGCTCTGCCTTTCAGTGCCACCTATCAGTGCCAGTCAGTGCCACCTATCAATGCCCGTCAGTACCACCTATCAGTGCTGCCAATCAGTGCCGCCAATCAGTGCGAGTCAGTGCCGCCTATCAGTGTCAGTCAGTGCCACCTATCAGTGCGCATCAGTGCCGCCTATCAGTGCCCGTCAGTGCTGCCTATCAGTGTTACCTAACAGTGCCAGTCAGTGCCACCTAACAGTGCTAGTCAGTGCCGCCTATCAGCGTCAGTCAGTGCCGCCTATCAGTGCCGCCTATCAGTGCCATATATGAGTGCTGCCTTACAGTGCCCATCAGTGATGCCTGTCAATGCCCATCGGTGCCACTTACCAGTGCCTCCCCATCAGTTTCATCAGTGCTGCCTATCAGTGCCCATCACAGCAGCCTCATTAGCACACATCAGTGAAGGAGAAAAATCACTTGTTTGTAAAATTTTATAACAGAAACTAAGAAAAACTTTTTTTTTTTTTCAAAATTTTCAGTAGTTTTTGGTTTGTTTAGCAAAAAATAAAAAACCCAGAGGTGATTAAATACCACCAAAAGAAAGCTCTATCTGTCTCAAAAAAATTATAAAAATTTCATATGGGTACAGTGTTGCATGACCGCGCAATTGTCATTCAAAGTCCGACAGCGCTGAAAGCTGAAAATTGGCCTGGGCAGGACGGAGGTATAAGTTCCCTGTAGGCTAGTGGTTAAAGTCATAAAAGCCATTTCTATGATCCATGGCATGACAAGGTGGTAATACAATGCTTACAGTTTCCCCCCTCACCCTCCTGTCATCTGAAACCAACTTACCACTGAAGTATTCAGGCTTGACATGACAGGACTCCGCACTGACGTACACTTGTTTGATGGCTGTTTACAAGCTGATATCAATAACAGAACCTCATCGGGATCTGTGGCCACTTTTACATCAGAAAGTCCTTTAGCCCAGGCCGACGAGCTCACCAGCCACATGAAGGAGAAGACCACAGTTACGATAAAATCCTAGGACAACATAAGCATGTTAGGTTTATTCCAATATACAACAGTAAGCTCATAGTACCCCATATAATTGATAAAAAGACACAACAAAACAACAAGTTTCTAGAACTTGCAGTGAGAAAGTATTATGGTGCACAAGCCATTTGATGTTTGCATATATCCTTTGTTCTATATTAGAAAAAAAGATAGAAGTATTCTGCTTGGTTATTAGATCCCATTCAGATATGTGATAAACAATACAATTTATTAACACTAACCATACAAACATAAACGCAGTGCAATACTAAACATAATACAGTGCAAACAAACCAAACCAAACCACCCACAGATAACAGTACATACAAGCAAGCGTCGTCAGGCAGGCCGGGTCAATATCAATTGGGCAGGTAGGTACAGGGGGAGCAAGCAGAGAATGGTCGGGGTCACAGGCCAGGTTCAGCAGGTAGCAAGCAGCGTAGTACAGAGGGTCAGGCAGAGGGATGGTCAGGGTCACAAGCCAGAGATCAAAACAGGTAACAAGCAGCGTAGTACAGAGGGTCAGGCAGAGGGACAGAAACAGGATGCAGGACAGATACAGGGCCCAGGACAAACACAACACCAAGGCAGAGTCTGTGGGGTTGGCCATCCCTTAAATACCCCAGCATCATCAGTTCCAGGTGTTAGCTGGCTGAAAGGTTGAGTCTCTGATTGCTGGGAGCACCCGCTGGCCAGCCCTGGTACTGCAGATCAAAAGGCAGGTGAGTCCCACCATTGCTGGCCAGTCCATTCCTAACAGTACCCCCCCCCCCCCCCAGGAGCGGCCTCAGGACGCTCCAAACAGTCCTAGCTGGGCAAAATGTTCCACCGCCCGGGTCTGGTAACTGGCGGGATATCAAAGACTGGCACACCGGGCAGGACTCCGGGCAGCGGCACACCGGGCTGGACTCCGGGCAGAGGCACACCGGGCTGGACTCCGGGCAGAGGCACACCGGGCTGGACTCCAGGGGGCAGGGCACACCGGGCAGAGGCACACCGGGCAGGACTCCGGGCAGAGGCACACGGGCACATCCGGGCAGAGGCACACGGGCAGAGGCACATCCGGGGCACACGGGCAGGGCACACGGGCAGAGGCACATCGGGCAGAGGCACATCGGGCAGGGCACATCCGGGCAGAGGCACACAGAGGCACATCGGAGGCAGGCACATCGGGCAGGACTCCGGGCAGAGGCACATCGGGCAGGCACATCGGGCACACGGGCAGAGGCATCATCGGGCAGGGCACATCGGGCAGGACTCCGGGCAGAGGCACATCGGGCAGGACCAGGGGCAGAGGCACATCGGGCAGGGCCTCCGGGCAGAGGCACAGGCACGGGCAGGGCCCCCGGGCAGAGGCACATCGGGCCCCCCGGGCAGGCAGCAGGCACCGGGCCCCCGGGCGGAGCAGCAGGCACCGGGCCCCCGGGCGGGCAGCAGGCACCGGGCCCCCGGGCGGAGCAGCAGGCACCGGGCCCCCGGGCGGGCAGCAGGCACCGGGCCCCCGGGCGGGGCAGCAGGCACCGGGCCCCCGGGCGGGGCGGCAGGCACCGGGCCCCCGGGCGGGCGGCAGGCACCGGGCCCCCGGCGGGGCGGCAGGCACCGGGCCCCCGGGCGGGGCGACAGGGGCCCCGGGCCCCCGGGCCCCCGGGCGGGCGGCGGCAGGGCCCCCGGGGGGCGACAGGCACGGGGCCCCCGGCGGGCGGAGGACAGGCACCGGCCCCCGGGCGGGGCAGACAGGCACCGGGCCCCCGGGCGGGCGCAGGCACCGGGCCCCCGGGCGGGGCGCAGGCACCGGGCCCCCGGGCGGGGCGACGGGCACGGGCCCCCCCGGGGCGGGCAGGCGCCGGGGGCCCCCAGGGGGGGGCGGCGGGCGGGGCCCCCAGGCGGGGCCAGGCAGGGCGACAGGGCCATCGGGCCCCCAGGCGGGGCGGGCAGGCATCGGGGCCCCCAGGCGGGGGCGACAGGCATCGGGCCCCCAGGCGGTCTCGGGCCCCCAGGCGGAGCGGGCGGGCCCCCCCAGGCGGAGCGACAGGTCTCGGGCCCTCAGGCGGAGCGGCGGGCGGACCCCCCCAGGCGGAGCGACAGGTCTCGGGCCCTCAGGCGGAGCGGCGGGCGCCGGACCCCCAGGCGGAGGAGCGACAGGTCTCGGGCCCTCAGGCGGAGCGGCGGGCGCCGGACCCCCAGGCGGAGCGACAGGTCTCGGGCCCTCAGGCGGTCTCGGAGCGGCGGGCGCCGGACCCCCAGGAGGAGCGACAGGTCTCGGGCCCTCAGGCGGAGCGGCGGGCGCCGGACCCCCAGGCGGAGCGACAGGTCTCGGGCCCTCAGGCGGAGCGGCGGGCGCCGGACCCCCAGGCGGAGCGACAGGTCTCGGGCCCTCAGGCGGAGCGGCGGGCGCCGGACCCCCCAGGCGGAACGACAGGTCGGAACGACAGGCCCCCAGGCGGGGCGGCGGGCACCGAGTCACCAGGCACAACCGTGGGCTCCGAGTCAACTGGGATGACCGCTGGCACTGGGTCAGACATTGGATCGTCTGGCTGGACAGCGGGCACGGGATCGTCCAGGCAGGGTCGGGCACAGGCATCAGGTCATTTGGCTCGACAGCGGGCACCGCGTCATCTGGCAAGGCAGTGGGCTCCGAGTCAACTGGTATGACCGCGGGCACTGGGTCAGACATTGGATCGTCTGGCTGGACAGCGGGCACTGGGTCACCAGGCATCAGGTCATTTGGCTCGACAGCGGGCACCGCGTCATCTGGCAAGGCAGTGGGGCTCCGAGTCAACAGGCACGACAGTGAGCACCGGGTCATCAGGTACCGGATTGTCTGGCTCGACAGCGGGCATCGGGTCACCAGGTATGACAGCGGGCACTGGGTCACCAGGCATCAGGTCATTTGGCTCGACAGCGGGCACCGGATCAGGTACCGGGCATCTGGATCAACAGCAACAGGCACGCATCAGAGTCAACTGGGCTCTAATAGGATCGTCAGGCTGGATCAGTTCATCATGCTGGGTAGAGGCATCAGGCTGAATGCAGCGTCAACGGCTGATCAGAGGCAGGCCGAGTCAGAGGCTTCAGGCCGAGTAGAGGCTTCAGGCCGAGTAGAGGCTTCAGGCCGAGTAGAGGGCATCAGGCCGAGTAGAGGCATCAGGCCGAGTAGAGGCATCAGGCCGAGTAGGCAGGCTTCAGGCCGAGTAGAGAGCATCAGGCCGAGTAGAGTAGGGCATCAGGCCGAGTAGAGGCATCAGGCGAGTAGAGTAGAGGCTTCAGGCCGAGTAGAGGCAGGCCGAGTAGAGGCTTCAGGCAGGCCGAGTAGAGGCATCAGGCCGAGTAGAGGCTTCAGGCCGAGTAGAGGCATCAGGCCGAGTAGAGGCTTCAGGCCGAGTAGAGGCATCAGGCCGAGTAGAGGCATCAGGCCGAGTAGAGGCATCAGGCTGAGTAGAGGCATCAGGCTGAGAGAGAGGCATCAGGCTGAGAGAGGCATCAGGCTGAGTAGAGGCATCAGGCTGAGTAGAGGCATCAGGCTGAGTAGAGGCAGGCTCAGGCTGAGTAGAGGCATCAGGCTGAGTAGAGGCATCAGGCTGAGTAGAGGCATCAGGCTGAGTAGAGGCATTCAGGCTGAGTAGAGGCTTCAGGCTGAGTAGAGGCTTCAGGCTGAGTAGAGGCTTCAGGCTGAGTAGAGGCTTCAGGCTGAGTAGAGGCTTCAGGCTGACGGAACGGAGGGCAGGCACCGGTTTGGATACTGGCAGGATGGTATTGGTTGGAAAGAATTTTCGCTTTTTTCTGGTTTTAACTACTGGAGCACTGCAAGTAAACGCAGGTCTGCAACGAATGGAGCAGCTGGAGACAGAGAAGAACTGGAGGATGGAACAGGAGAGGGAGCGGTTGCTACAGAGGGCTCTTTTACAGGGTTAAAGGCAGGATAGGTGCAGCGAGTGGGAACAGGGTACTGACATGCGGTAGATAGCAGGGCAGGAGGAGCTGTTGGGAATGCAGGAATAGAGTTTTGAGGAAATAGATTAGAAGCAGGACTGGGTCTTTGTAAGCTGACTGAGGCTGGGTGCAACAAATCTGTCCATGTCTGCAGTATGGGTTGAACAAAGCTGAGCTTACACAAAGCCTGTCTGGTCAATGACTGTACTGCGTTTATACAATCTCTTAGTGTCTGTGGTGAACATGTGGAATAACGCTCCAGAAAGTAACCCACATCATCCTCTAATAACCACACCAGGGACTCTACCTGGTCTGCACTAAATGGTGGCAAAAATTCATCCCTGCATTCGGGGGAACCAGATGAAACCAACTCAGCACAAACCTCAATCAAAGGCTGCACCTCAGAGAACTCTGTGCCCTGATCTACTAGAACATGAGCGAGCCGTATACATTCTAGCAGTTCATCCCGGGTATACTCCTTCAGAGTTTGATAAGCATACTCCCTGTCATCAAACACTAGCAGATATAAATATTCAACCTCATCAAGATCCATCCTTCCCATCAACAAGCCAAGATGGCTTCCCTGTGCAGCCACTTCTGGTCAGGATTGGCCTTGGTGTAATGTCAGGGCTCCCAGGTATGACCAGAGGTGTGTGACTGATGCAGGGAAACGCAGACTTCAGATATGTGATAAACAATACAATTTATTAACACTAACCATACAAACATAAACGCAGTGCAATACTAAACATAATACAGTGCAAACAAACCAAACCAAACCACCCACAGATAACAGTACATACAAGCAAGCGTCGTCAGGCAGGCCGGGTCAATATCAATTGGGCAGGTAGGTACAGGGGGAGCAAGCAGAGAATGGTCGGGGTCACAGGCCAGTTCAGCAGGTAGCAAGCAGCGTAGTACAGAGGGTCAGGCAGAGGGATGGTCAGGGTCACAAGCCAGAGATCAAAACAGGTAACAAGCAGCGTAGTACAGAGGGTCAGGCAGAGGGACAGAAACAGGATCCTATTGCACTTTTTCCATGTGGCTGAATGAGCAGTGCCTGCACCTGAATACATAGGAGGTGAAAGGGACTGTGTGGCAGAACCTGCAGCAGCATCATACATATTTTACCGTTTGCTATTTATTATTGTTTATTTGCTCCAAAGTCTTTTATTACTGCAAGTTTCAAAAAGAAATCAAGCCCCAGAAGACGTCATCTATGACGAAATGTGTCGGAAGAGCTTGCTGTGACGTCATCACGCAAACCAGAAGTCAACCATTTTCTGTGTCCCATGTGGAATTTGATGCAGCGATGCATTACTATTTTACATTTGTAAGTGCACTATTAGTGACATCTGAGGAGCACCGGTGGCCCATATGGATTATGATTAGATGTGCATTCTGACTCTTATGTTTTTGAAAGTCATTAAAGTCTGGTAAGCAGATTTTAAGTCTCAGCTTGGTGATGGAGCACTGTGAAGAGGTGTTATTTTTTGAAAAATTTCACAAGAGACTTTATGCCTTTCTGAATATTGTATTTTTTGATCTGCACAAAATTTTATTCTATTTTTTTTTGCTATACACTTTTTATTCATTTGTAATAGCACAGCACATTTCATTTGGGGCTGTGAAGAATATCTCAAAGCGTCGTAGAAGCTTCTTTATTCACTTTGGTTTTTTTTCTACTTTATTGGACACTTAGGATCCATGTACACAGGACACTTCGGAACGATGGAAACTGACTGCTGGAAAACGAAGGTTAAAAAATGTCTATTTAGCCGCGTTTGCATACCGCATTTATGCGCGTTTATGAGTGTTTACGTTTAGAAGCATTTTTTAAAGATAACCTCAGGAGACCTTCCAAAATGCCCAGAATGCACTGAAAAATAGTAAAAAAATTAACTATTTCAGACATTTTGAGAGAAACAGAGAGAGCAGAAGCAGAGAGAGCAGTATTTGTTGAGATTAGCTGTCTTTTTTTTTGTGGTGTTTGGATGTGTTCCAGCTCATTTCTGTGGAGAAGAATTATTGCAACGGTGTCTAGCATATTTTCTTTCATGTGAAACCTCAAAGTATGGTGTACCAGGTCCATTTGAGTACTGAGAAAAACGCTTTGCATGCATTTTTCATGATGAAAAAAGGCTCTGGACAGCATCTGGAAATGGAAGAGTTAAAAAAATGTACAAACGCAAACGCTTATAAAAACACGGTTAGCCACGTTTACACGCATTTACAAGTGTTTGGCATTTGAAACGCTGATAAAATCTACTTTTTTTTTTTTTTTAAGTCTGAAACGTAAAATCTACTCCTGAATGCAAGTTTGGTGCGTTCAAAAAAACGACTGTAAACTCAACTGCCTGTAAATGACATAGTGTACATGGACACATAGGAAAACATTAGGGAGAGTTCAGGGGCTGCTGAAAAAAATTCAGAAAAGCTCCTAAACGTGGTTTATCAGTTGCAGTGTACATGGAGCCTTATAGGAAAACAGGAAATGCCAGCCAACACGTTTCACTGCCACAAATCATTCTTCCTCAGGGCTACAAAAAGTACAAAGTGTGCAATACTAAACATAAGAAACAATACTTTTTTCCTATGTTTCCTATATTTATTATTACAGTTTACTATTTCTTCTCCCTGTTGAATTGACTTTGTGACATCACAGAAAAAAATGTAACTTTCTGAAGTGACGTCTGCAGGCTGCATCAGAGATTTCCTGCTTGCTTTGATCTATAGTGTGCTGCAAAGCAAAGTACATAAGTCAAGTCATGATCGCAGAAAATAGCAATGAAAAAAAGGTATTTAGCAAAAATATTTTTATCTGACCTATAGACTATTGCTTTGAATGTTGTTACCAGGCAGGGGCGGACTGACAACTCATGGGGCCCCCGGGCAACAGGGGAACATAGGGCCCCTGTGTCCTTGCCCAAACTCAAAAAAGCCTATGAAAAAGGTACCAGGGGCATCTCATGGGGCCCCCTACTGACCCCGGGCCCTCGGGCAGTGCCCGAGTTTCCAAATGGTCAGTCCGCCCCTGTTACCAGGTGATCATTATGAAATAGTTTTAAACACGTTTATTGATGCTTTAAGAAAAAAAAAAGATGAGAATAGAATCAACATAATCAGTTGCTATGTATAATGTGTGTGCTTTCTTCTAATTTTGTACAAAATCAAGCTTAAGGGTTTATTTATAAATGATCACAAGATCCATAAGGACCTTTTCTTAGGATTTGCACATTTTTCCAATGGAATCCATTTAAAAAAAATGTGTGAATCTTGTGTGAAAACATATATAAGTAGATCCCTTAGTGTTTATATTCTCAGCATTCCCTACCAGTGATGACAACCAGTCATCTGTGCTGCACAGAGTGCCAGATGAACACATGCAAAGCCACTTGGCGTAATGATGTTGTGCAAAGCCTCCAGCACTTTGCAAGCTTCACTGATAGATGTCTTGCGCTGTCTTCTTGCCGTGTCTGATGTTCGTTATCTGTGCTGGGGGGCTCCCATTTACCTTCCTGGCACAGCTGGGCAGCGGCGTGAAAATCCGAAGACATGACTATTTTTAGGTTTGCAGATGTCACTATAGAAATACAGGTATGGCAATTCGAATCTCAAAAGTTCCAAACACTAGAAGGAAAAGCAATATATAATTCTGGCTTTTCTGTAATGCTGTTACATTTATTAATATGGTCACCTGCAGATTTCTTCTGAATTCATTACGGAGTATTTATAACTAGCATTAAAAATAGTGGTGTTGTGATGCCAAACAGTTAAGGATGTATTTTTAAAAAAATCACAGTGATTCGCATAGTGAAAGTGCATGTACATCCTGTGCAAATAGGGAAAAAGAATAATAATGATGAATGATAAATAAATGGTATTAGTCTATTTCTTGTGCTGGACGAATGTTTTTAATTGAAAATGTAAATATACAGCAATCAGCCATTAGATGGCACTAAGTATCACAGGAATATACCGCATTTGACCACTTGATTCTGCTATATTAGGTGCCATCTAATGGCCAAATGTGGTATTTTCACTTTTAAATCAATGAAAAACATTTGACCAGCACAGGAAATAGTCTAACGCTGTTTTTTGCCCCTTTCACACAGAACAAATGTACACGCACTGGGTGCATTGCAATGAAAATCATATTTATTTATAACAGGCACATTCAATTTACGCATTCATGTGTAATATTGTACATTTGCATCACTCCCTGTCCTCAAGGAGCTTACAATCTAAGGTCCCTAACTCACATTCATACAGTATATACAATATATATATATATACTAGGACTAGTTTATACAGGAGCCAATTAACCTACCATTGTGTCTTTGGAGTGTGGGAGGAAACCTACGCAGGCACAGGGAGAACATGCAAACACCATGCAGGTATTGCCGTGATTGGGATTCGAACCGACGACCCTAGTTCTGCTAGGCAGAGGTGCTAACCACTTAGCCTCTAAACATTTGTTTTTGTTCCTTTTTTTAGTCAAATCATTTCACCTTGTTTTATCTCTTGTACTCAGAGCTACTAGTCCATGCCAGATTCATAGCAGCCACTTCCTATCTAAACGGTAGCTCCCCAAATACTTTGGTCCCTTCTTCCTTCTTTGTTGTCCTCTTTTTTGGTCTGGTGTATAAACCTCTATACTTGTACTATTTAGCCATCAACAGTTTCCATCTAACCTCTAAATTATTGCATTCATTTTTTTAAAAAGACAGTAAAAAAACAAAAACAAAATTCAAATTGATGGTTTAATCTATTGTTTTATTGATTGGGTAATGTTAAAGTTGAATTCCAGTTACATTGGTCTAGCTTGGATCAATGTACTGTAAGCAGGGGCGGACTGACCATTTGGAAAGTAGGGCACTGCCCGGGGGGCCCGGGGTCAGTAGGGGGCCCCATGAGATGTCCCTGGTACCTTTTTTATAGGCTTTTTTGAGTTTGGGCAAGAACACAGGGGCCCCATGATCCCCAATTGCCCGGAGGCCCCATGAGTTGTCAGTCCACCCCCTGACTGTAAGTATGCATATTCCATACCTGGCCAATCCCTATGGAAGAGGAAAATCATTGTAGTAGCAGTTGCTACTATAGTGATCCTTGCTGTCTTCTAGGTTCTATGCCGTGGGCTGCCCTGCTGCATAGGAACCACGCGGGGTCAAACTGGTTTTTCAATGACCTTTGTTTTAATGGATGAGTAGGTGAGGCAGGACAGTGATATCAGAGAACACCTTTTTTTTTTTGCTATTAAAGCTGAACTCCAGAAATTATCTGTATTGCATGCTTACATTGGTTCAGCTTGCATCATTGTATGCATTTTATATACCTGATGGGCTGCATATCACAGATCTGATGGGCTGCTGGCAAAGTTGAAAATCATTGTAATAGTGGGTGCGACCTTCTGGGTCCTGCTGGGGTTCGGTGTGAGCAGTTTCCCCCGACGGTGGGGGGTTATTTGTTTGGCTTTGCTTCCATTCATACAATGCCTTGTGAATAAAATGCATTCTCTTATTGGAATCATAACAAAAAATTGACTTGGGGAATCCCCAAAAAGTGATCCAGTGAATCCACTTCTGACAAATCTTCCTGACACCAATAGAAAAATGGTGACGGGGAGGGACCTCCAGCCGATTGACAGCCTTAGCTCTGTTGCTGTGAGCAGTATGAAGGGGTGTGTCTCTTCCCTCCAATCAGCTCTCAGAGCTCTCCTCACTGAGCTCTGCAGAGTGTAATACGGCTCTCCCCCCTTTTTCGGAACTCTCAGACAAACTTTATAATTTCAGCACTTTGAATGTCTGTAGAGAAGAGAAGACTGCAGATAAAAAGGGACAACTTATGTAGGAGGATTTGTTTAATCTCTGTGTTTCACCTGAGGATAGTCACTTCACTGGGTATATATAAGGGTTTACAACCACTTTAAGGTCACCTAGACCTTTATTAGAAAAATACAAAAGACCATTAAATAACAACACAATTAGCTCTTGACTACAAATATCTTTGTAGTCAAGGGCTAATTGTGTTATTATGTAATAGTCTTTTGTATTTTCTAATAAAATTCTAGCTAGCCTAAAGTTGGTGTCATTGTTCACAAATTTCTTATATAATATTCTCTGATAGGACCGATGTGGAGAGAAGAAGCTGTGATGTCGCAAAAAAAAAATTATTTATATGTATAGTTTGGAATGGAGGAGGAGGCCACATTTGCACATTACATAGTTCCTGCCAAGCGATGGAACCCTGGATGACCAACTGGCTAACGCGTTTCGAGGACACAACCTCTTCCTCAGAGCCAACCAAGTGGTTGTGTCCTCGAAACGCGTTAGTCAGTTGGTCATCCAGGGTTCCATCGTATGGACTCAGATGTTGTTTGGATCATACATCTTGTTCAGTTTGACATGCCTGTGTTATTATGTCCATTGTGAGTATGATACCTATTTTTGTTTCTTTAATAAATTATTTTAAACGATAATGCACTACGTCGGTACGCGCCCTTTTTTCTGTTTCTCCATTTGTATCCAGTGTATTCGGACCACCCGGTCTGTTGAGGGCAGCAAGCAGTGCATATTCCAGAACATTCCTATTGGGTCTACTAAGTCCTTTCCTAGCGCAGGAGTAAAGTGTTTGTTGTGTTGGATAGTTCCTGCCCTCATAGGTCAACTGTCCTTAGAGGTCTATGGATATATGACATTACTTTAATTTAAAGGCCACTTATTTTACTTATATATAGAGTTAGCCCCAAGCTTCTTATATGTGAAGTCTCCGTTTCTCCTTATCTGTGTATTTCTTTGTTTGTAGTGTTTTTATATAGGAGAGTCCACCTAATATTTGGGTTTTGTATTCTGATGCAAGGTGCATTTAAATTACCTGGAGACACAAGGAAAATTGTTGCTCGATCCAGCTAACTACATTTGAATTGGGAAACTACTGAATATCTCTGGGCATTCTGTCCTATTTGGAGAGAGTATTTTTTTATACATCAAGATTTATAATTAAGTCATAGAACTGAATATACTGATGGGAGCATCCAAAGCCTGACGCTTCCTCCGCCACCTAAAAGCGTGCAACATAAGACTGTTCAATTATCCAATAAAGGTATCACTTTAGTTCTTGTATTCTTCCTCTCCCGTTATTAGCATAGATGTTTAGCTCCTCCACTTCCCTATTAGTCCCTTAACCTGATAAAACAAATTAAATATTTATTCACGTGTGCAAGCATTCGCTGTTGTTCACACCACCGACGGAGGACTTTAATTACGATGCTGGGCTTATTCCAATCCTCTGACATCAGAATGAAATCAGACTCTTTGGAGTGCCGCGTGAGGCTACCATTAATGAATTAATGAATTCTGTACTGCAGCTCTGCTGAGACCGAGATAAGATATGAAATACAG